TACTTTCTTTTTTTTTATAACTCGTTTTCGGTTGTAATCTACTTTATTACGAATTTAATTTGTGAACTGATTTTTTTAATTGGTATAATATGTACTCGTACCAATTTATTCAATATTGTAAGTGACCCCAACCATAATGGGCTATTTCATTAATTTCGGAAATTGGCATAATTAGATGAAGCAACTGAAAATGGAATCTTCTACACCTTTACCTACTTGTATCTACTATGAGAGTATTCTTGAACTGATCAAAGTATAAATGATATTATATTATATTCCTCGAAACTGAGAATCTATGAGAACATTTTCAAGCCGTTTAGAAGATAATAATGTTACTCTTATTGGAACAATTTTAGATGATTATAAGGGACTATAAAACCCCATAACTACCTGGTTTGAAAAACTCCATTAGGGCATTTTTGACTCATGTTCCAGTGTACCAAAAATTGAAAATCCTGTTAATTGATTGCTTCAATTATTATTGTTACAACAGCAACACGAAATGGTGTTTTGTCTTAGTCGAGCAATGCGGAAAACAATCACTCGCTATTAACATTATTGCCAAATTGAAAGCACAAATTGCCTTAAAAAAAAAATAGAATAAATAATGTATGTAATTGAACCGGGAAGTTTTATTTTTCCAACCATATAAAATATACCATTGACAATAAGAAACGTTGTATGTAATCTCGAGACGCAATCTTGGGCGTGGCTCGAAATTGCACCAGCTCAATTGTGCACCCACAATAATAATTGTCCGGTATTTTAACAAAGTGCTTTTTGCTCCGCTTACATATTTTATGCACGGTCTGTGGATTTATTGACATACAACAACCGAAATCCATTGTGAATCTTTCGTAACTAATTTTGACAAAAATGTATAGGAGAATGAATTAGTTTTGGAGCGCATTACTCAGAGAAATAAAATCTGCAACAGAACTAATGTTATTCTGATCTTGTACAGGGTGTTTTCTTATGTATTGACATCCCATCTACAGCATTTACCTTTACAGGTAGATGAAAGGTGTAAAGTACAGTATTGGTTAAATTTTTAGAATCCATGGTAAGAAACAAAAATTGAATGTCAGAAATGTGAAATATTGCATGCTTTCAGCTTTTTTCAAATTTGGTTCTATATTCTTGAAGAGCACAATTTCCCGATTCCAAAACTATATAGTTCGTCTATATTTGGTTGGGCCGTCTCCAACATATTTGGTTCTAAAAATTTTAAAAATACAATCAAAGAAACCAAGTACCTCAAATTTTACCTGCAGCTTTCACCTATACAAGTAGAATGCAGTGTTGCCAATTGTACTATAATTATAGTATTTGTACTATAATTGAATGGTTATGTACTATGTACTATCAAAGGTCATTATAGTACGCCTAAAATTCCACCTTTTTTCTTTTTTATTTTATTTTTTTTTCAGCTAAATAGGCTCTGTCGTTTTAGTATTGATAGAGCATGTATTTTTTGACAGTTGACATTTTAAATGTCAACTGTCAAAAGTGTTAGTTTAGTGTTTTTTTGGTGACAAGGTTTACACTGCCAATTGTCAATTTCATTGATTTTCCTGAGCGGGTCCTTTTTTTATACCAAAAAAGATGTTATCGAATGCACCCCTATTTAATTTTTATATTTTTTTTAAATTTTGTTGTTTTTCACGGAAAAAATTTGAAATTTTAGTGTGATGCGCCCCTGACTTTTCTCTTTTTCTCCAGGAAATGTCATACTTTTTCCTTGAATAGTTTTCCAGAAAAAAAATAAAATGTTAAATGGTGCATTTATGCCTAATTTAGTTGATTTTCATTAATTTCCAATGAGGTTATTTTCCACTGGAAAAATCTGAAATTTTACCATGATACGCCCCTGACTTTCTTCTTTTTTTCCAGAAAATGTCATAATTTTCTCCTGAATAGTTTTCCAGAAGAAAAATAAAATGTTGGATGGTGCATTTATGCCTAATTTAGTTGATTTTCATTAATTTCCAATGGGGTTATTTTCCACTTAAAAAAATTGAAACTTTACTATGATACGCCCATGATTTTCTTCTTTTTTTCCAAAAAATGTCATAATTTTCCCTTGAATAATTTTCCAGAAAAAAAATAAAATGTTAGATTGTGCATTTATGCCTAATTTAGTTGATTTCCATTAATTTCCAATGGGGTTATTTTCCACTGGAAAAATTTGAAATTTTACTATGATACGTCTCTGACTTTCCTTTTTTTATCCAGAAAATGACATAATTTTCCCCTGAATAGTTTTTCAAAAGAAAAATAAAATATTGGATGGTGTATTTATGCCTAATTTAGTTGATTTCCATTAATTTCCAATGGGGTTATTTTCCACTGAAAAAAAATTGAAATTTTACTATGATACTTTTCCTCTTTTGTTTCAGAAAATGTCATAATTTTCTCCTGAACAGTTTTCCAGGAAAAAAATAAAATGTTAGATGGTGCATTTATGTTTAATTTAATTGATTTTCATTAATTTCCAATGGGGTTATTTTCCACTGAAAAAATTTGAAATTTTAGAATGGTACACCCCTGACTTTTCTTTTTTTTCCAGAAAATTTCATAATTTTCCTCTGGATAGTTTTCTAGAAAAAAAAATTAAATGTTAGATGGTGCATTCATGCCTAATTTAGTTGATATTCATTAATTTTCAATGAGGTTATTTTCCACTGGAAAAATTTGAAATTTTGCTATGATACGCCCCTGGCTTTCTTCTTTTTTTCCAAAAAATGTCATAATTTTCCCTTGAATAGTTTTCCAGAAGAAAAATAAAATGTTGGATGGTGCATTTATGCCTAATTAAGTTGATTTTTATTAATTTCTAATGGGGTTATTTTCTACTGTAAAAATTTGAAATTTCTCTATGATACGTCCCTGACTTTCCTCTTTTTTTGCAGAAAATGTCATAATTTTCCCTTGAATAGTTTTCCAGAAAAAAAATAAAATGTTAGATGGTGCATTTATGCCTAATTTAGTTGAAATTCATTAATTTCCAATGGGGTTATTTTCCACTAAAAAAAATTGAAACTTTACTATGATACGCCCATGATTTTCTTCTTTTTTCTCAAAAATGTCATAATTTTCCCTTCAATAATTTTCCAGAAAAAAAATAAAATGTTAGATTGTGCATTTATATCTAATTTAGTTGATTTTCATTAATTTCCAATAAGGTTATTTTCCATTTGAAAAATTTGAAATTTTACTATGATACGCCCCTGACTTTCCTCTTTTTTTCCAGAAAATGTCATAATTTTCTCCTGGACAGTTTTCCAAAAAAAAAAAAAATATTGGATGGTGCATTTATGCCTAATTTAGTTGATTTTCATTAATTTCCAATGGGGTTATTTTTCACTGGAAAAATTTGAAATTTTAGTATGATACTCCCTTGACTTTTCTTTTTTTTTCCAGAAAATTTCATAATTTTCCCTTAAATAGTTTTTCAGAAAAAAAAAGAAAATGTTAGATGGTGCATTTATGCCTAATTTAGTTGATATTCATTAATTTCCATTGAGGTTATTTTCCACTGGAAAAATTTGAAATTTTACTCTGATACGCCCCTGACTTTTTCACGGATATTAAGACATGATAAACGTTTTTCTATGATTATTATTGTACATAGTACATCTACAGTTTTTGAATAATTGTCATCCAATTATATAATTTTGTATATTTTCGTATGGGCAGGAGGGGGGGCCTTTACACAAGCGTAACATTCTGTGATTTAACTAAAGGATTTGACTGTGTGGCACATTATTTTACTAAAAAAACTGCGAAATTATAATTTTAGTCTAAACAGTACACAATTAATCGAATCATTCCTGACAAACAGACAGCAATATGTACAGTTCAATAATAAGACTTCCAATAAAAAATGGGGTCATTCAGGGTTCAGTCCTGGGTCCCTCGTTGTTCTTGGTACCTATACATTAATGATCTCATAAACGTAAGTCCTGATGACTGTGTAACATTATGTAATAGGGTAACCATACAATGCAACTGTATAATACATTTAGCAGAATTATTTGAGAAATTCTTACAATTCCTTAAAACGAAACCCAATAGCTTAGAGGATTGCACCACCACATTTTCAATATGCAGAAAAAATTTTAGTCCCTCATCGAAAATCACGCCAAAGTCTTTCATTTTCGGTGTATATCTTTATTATTGACATGATAATTAGAATTAATCTTTTTGCTGAATCTAAAAAAACTTATTGTATAACATTTGTCAACATTTAACTTCAGCTTATTTACCTCGCACCATGTGACTAATCGACTTAAATCTTCCTGTAATAATACAGTATCAAAATCATTATTTATTATTCTAAAAAATTTGAAATCATCTCCAAAGGTAATGGTATACTATGATGAAAGTTTTGTGTAATAAATATCATATCATTGATAAATATATTGAAAAGCAATAGGCTCATTATTGCTTTAAAAATGCTCCAACTGCTAACGAACTTGATGAGTTGCCAAATTTAATTAAAAATCTTGACATTACAACGATTTTTGGAATCTTTATCACCCTGTATCTCAAAAGTTGAGATGTTTGAGGCATACGTTCGTATGAAGTTTCCTTCTTGAAATTGCCTCCTCAAATATTGACATTCAAATTACAGAACACCCTGTATGTATTTGAGAATCACAAAATATCATCGATCTGCCAATCGATATAGTAGTTTTTCTATTAAATTGTTATTATAGGGCAAATAATTGGTAAACAGTAAATCTACTATTCAATAGATATGTTTTGTTGATTCATATATTGAGACTCAACCAGAATAATCTGGGCATAGTGATGAATGCGCAACCAAAAAGATTCAAAAGTAAAACATTTAATTGTTAATTGAACACAGTATGAGCTTAAAAACTACAAAAACAATGTCAGCTATCGTAATAATAATAAATAAGATGAGCAACACTAAATAATATACACTGATTAATTAATAATACTATGGCAGCTTTCATTATTCGGACACATTTCTAAAGCAATTTGAGCCCCAATCCTCCAAGCCCCAAACTACTAGACACGTAAGACTTTTGCGGGTGGATTGCGTGTCCTATTCTGGACACTTGAGCGTTGAACCCGTTGACCTAAAATTGAACAGTTGTCAATAAATAAAAATAACTTTAAACAAAAATAATTGCCTTGTCAGCTGTGTATTTAACCACACGAATGGTACCATCAGGTTCGGCTAAGGAATATTGTCCGTGGACAACGTCGCCGATACGTTGTTCGGTTTGTTCTTTTTGATCTCCGGTTTTGTGATCGGCCACTGCGTATTTGTATTCGTATTTTGGTGGGGTGTGGTAATCTATAGTTTTTGCGATACCTAGTCATTTAAATAGTGTATCAAATCATTAATCTAGGAATTAAGATATGTTTTAGTCTTACCAATAGATGGCGAAACTATTGAGTTAGCTGGGGCCACAGCTATTTTAGTAGCTATCGGTTGAAGCCTAGCCAATTTCAGTCCGCCTAATCCCAATCCACCCAAACCCAATCCTCCATCTAATCCGCCTAGTCCAATTCCACCGCCAAGTCCTCCCAAACTAACTCTTCCTAGTTCAATTCCATTGTTTAATCCTCCCAGTCCAATTCCACCGCCTAGTCCTCCCAAACTCACTCTTCCCAGTCCAATTCCATTGTCCAATCCCCCTCCGCCTAGTCCGATTCTTCCTCCTAGTCCTCCTAAACTGACTCTTGTTAGTCCAATTCCATTATCCAACCCTCCTAGTCCAATTCCATTGTCCAACCCTCCTAGTCCAATTCCATTGTGTAATCCTCCTAGTCCTATGCCTCCGTCTAAAGCTATCCCACCTGAAACGTAACTTACAGCGCCACCGTTAACGTTTGCAGCTAAAACAAATAAACATAATATTGAAATTTTACAAGACATCTTTTTAACGTGGTCAGTTAAGTAGGTACTGATATCCCACTGAGTTGGACAATTTGCTTTTATAGTGGGTACCTCCTGAGGAAATTCGCCATATCTTCGGGTGCCGGCCGGTTCCGATTTTTTTTTTTTTTGCATCGGGTACCACGCGACCGGCTGAAGAACTTTTAGGGGGTTCTTGCATCAACTTGGACCGATAATGTCGGTCAGTGGTACCAAAAATGCCTACTTCAAGTCCCACATTGCCATTATGGGTACACGCTTATCAGAATTGCATCAGATTTGTTTGAAAAATGTTTCGACGGGTACCCAAACTTGATATGTACAATTTTATTTTACGTCGGGCAGGTCAAGAAGCTGTGCTAATAGTATGTGGGCTAATTATATTATTTCTAGTTTCTTGATCAATTTCTGGAAAAATTGGTACTATAGTTTTAATAAAATTTATTATTAGATTAGTAGTTTGTTTTCCAAATTTGTAGGTGTAAAGGTCATGTAAATGTCCCATACATTTTCACATAAAAATCTATGAAAACAGTCCATTTGTCCTCGTACTATATACTTAATTCAAATACAATCGCGTCATTATTTAATGGCCTTATTTAGTGGAGCCAGGAGCCAGTTGTTATTTTAATTAAGTCCAATTTTTCTGTGGCTTTGGACTAGAATCCTAATTTTGACTTTCTATATATGTCCTGCTCTCCTATATATTTTTTTAAAAATTTTCATGGAAACATTATTATTGTGTAAGAAATTTGTTAATTGAAATTCTGTAGAGTAGATAATTCCAGGCGACTTGTCAACCGAAATCCGATTTATTGATATGAAAAGTGTACGTTTTTAGATTACCCAACCAACGGGTTTTGGGTGTTCCACATAAATAAATCAAAAATCTGTATTTTCAAGTATTGTACAGGGTGGCCCAATTAGGATACTTTTTTCTCAATTTGTCTTGAATTTCATCCTAATTTCTTCTGAATTTCATCGTTTTGGTAAGAAGGTACCTACCTTATGATATAGATTTTGGAAAACTTTGAAAGATCATAACGTTTTTTCTATTATAGATAGAAAGCTGAAACTTCCACTGAATTTTATCCCAATCAAGGGACTACAATCCCTGAAAATTTTAGCTCATTTGCACTTATAGTTCTTGAGATGAAATCGTGTTAAGCAATTTGAGGTGATTTATCAATTTTTCAATTTTTCTGAGTGCCTTTTTTCATAGATTTCGGCTTCAAATCTGGGAATAATTTAGCGTATGGAGTTTGGGGTATGTGTATTGACCATTAGGATATAAATTCTCGACAAAAAAAATTTTGAAATTTCATCGTTTTCGTAAGAAGGTAGAACCTTATGATTTAGATTTTGGAAAACTTTGAAAGGTCATAACTTTTTTTCTATTATAGATAGAAAGCTGAAGCTTTCACTGAATTTTTTCCCTTTCAAAGGACTACAATCCCTGAAAATTTCAGCTCATTTGCACTTATAGTTCCTGAGATAAAATCGTGTTAAGCAATTTGGGGTGATTTATCAATTTTTCAATTTTTCTGAGTGCCTTTTTTCATAGATTTCGGCTTCTAATCTGAGAATTATTTAGAGTATGGAGTTTGGGATATGTGGATTAACCATAAGGATACAAAATCTCGACAAAAAAAATTGAAATTTCAGTTCTGAATTTTTGTAGATTCCAGGCATCTTAAGTATTTTCTTAGCTTTTTTATATGAAGAAAATTCAGAGAAATAGGCAAAATATGAGAGCCTGGAATAGAAAAACTACGTCTATACAGGGTGTCCGGAATAACTTGAAGTGTATCTATGAGGATTTTTAGCAACTATTGAATATATAGGGTAGACCAAATATTGCCCACAAATAATCTGTCATCAACTGTGATTCCTTGATGAATCGAAACATTCTAAGTCACAAACGCTCACCACAGATACGTTCCACATTTTATCCAAATGAAATTATTTCTGACCAACAGGGTTGTGGATACTTGAAATTGATTGAAGGAGGAAACTATGCAACATCAATAGACAAATAATCATTATATGCCCTTTTTTCTGAAACTCACTGTATACTTCTGTCCTCTAAATCCACACTCATCGTCACCTTTAACAATTTCCACTTCAGATGTATAGTTCTAATGAAGAAATAATCTGTGTCACCTCACTAGAAGTCAACACCATTATGTCATTTCAAATTAATTCCAAAAAAAAACCACAATAATTATGTGCGTACATTATCTTTTGTCAACCTAAATCCAATAATATTTTTCCATCTGAATCTCGGTTTCACCTTGACGGCCAAAATATAAAAGCCAACCTCTGGAGCAATTGAATCACAGTCGATCATTTAACCAGCTTCAAAGATGATGTCCAAAATCCTAATAATCGCCGTTATTCTGGTCAGCACTTACGCAATCCACATAGTGGACCATCACGCATATCCAAAGTACGAGTTCAAATACGGAGTTGAAGATCCTCACACTGGCGATAGAAAAGAACGCATTGAAGTCAGAGATGGTGACGTGGTGAAACAAGAATACGCTTGGGGCGAAAAAGATCGGGAAGTAAGGGTATCGAAAATCGATGCTCACGATGTTCCTGTTCATATTGCTATCAAAGGCCATCATTACTAATTATTAATTATTATAATATTTTGTTTAAGTTTTTTTCAATAAAAATTTTCAAACTCAAGAGAACAAATGTCTACCAATATACCAAAAACAAATTTATTAAACCAACAAATAAATCAACAAAGTTACTCGTGGTGTTTGATTTCAATTTTCACCTCTGCAGGTTTGTCGTCCCATTTTTTCACTTTAACTTCACGATCCTTTTGGCCCCAGGTGTACTCTTGCTCCACTTTGTGTCCGTCCCTTTTTTCCGAGCGTTCCTTCTTGTCCTTGGTGTGCGGGTCCTCGACGCCGTACTTGAACTCGTATTTAGGATAGGCGTAGTAATCGACAACTTTGTGTTCCAGAGCCAAAGCGCCCGCTATCACGAATGCTAAGATTATTAATGTTTTCGATAGCATTTTGTTTGTCGGTTGCTGAATTAAGATTAAAGTCTTTTTGGTTGGCGGGTTTTATATATACCTGTAAGTAGATTGGTTGTTGAATAAATTTAGGTTTTATTTGGATATGTTGGGCTTAAAAACTTACTAATTAGGCGGCCCGCAAATGTAAAAGTAAAAGTTCTTATTAGTATGAAAAATTTACTCTCTAATTTGTGCATGATTATATTAAATAATGTCAAATTTTCAGTTTGAATTTTGCAAGGAATTTTGCTTATGGTCATTATATATGAAATTTGGGCCTTTAAGCTTCATATTGGATAAAAATTGATGCCTAACAAGCCGAAATTTTCAAGGTTTGTAGTTGCATGATAAAATTTCAAATTGTTTTTATTTGTTGAGATTTTGTGTCTAAATGATCATTGCGGACCCCCCAACCCCAAATTGCGTAACGCGATTTTATTTCTGCAACTATATACGGTGTATATTGCTGCTGTCTATAACTTCCAGTACCATTCGTACTCTAGAGTCTAGAATAGGCTGGAAATGTCCATATTTTCACATAAACTCTTTTAGATGAATCGCAATTATTAGTTTTACCCCCTAAAACCACCCTCGAAGTAATTTGCGAGTCAAGTGAGGCTCCCCAAACGATGGATTGTGGTACTGCCTATAATCTCCAGTACTGTTTGTGCCCGAAACTAGGGTGGAAATGTCCATATTTTCACAAAAACCCTTTTTTCGATGAATCGATGAGTTTCCCTACGCAAATTTTTGCACAGGACTACAGTCAGGTGCGATATTATAACCCTTGTAGCTGCTGCACTTTGCTTGTAGCTACTATTTGCTTGGTTTTGGTCCACCATACTGTCACAACCCCTATACGTTTCGTCCTGGGACGTCACAACAGGAGCGTGACTTGAGGGCGTAGGTGGGGTTCAGGGCGAAAGAAACTCGCTTGGTATAAGTATAATAAGATAATGTATTGAATCATAATATTACCCTAGAAATAGTATCATAACGTCTGTTTTACGGAGGGACGTACTACTTATAGGCCACTCTGTATTATGTACCCTCTGTACACTTGGCGTGACTGAGAACTGAAGCTGGGTTTGAGACAGGTCCAGAAGGGCGTTTCCCAATAAAGGTAGTTTGCACTGGACCTAGTCTGCTGCGTTCGATGCTCCCACAAAAAACTAGGTTTGAGACAGGTCCAGAAGGGCGTTTCCCATTAAAGGTAGTTTGCACTGGGAGGAGACTTGGGGTGGTTTATCAATTTTTCAATTTTTCTGAGTGCCTTTTTTCATAGATTTCGGCTTCAAATCTGAGAATAATTTTGTGTATGGAGTTTGGGGTATGTTGATTGACCATTAGTATATAAATCTCGACAAAAAAAAATTGAAAATGCTAGGTTTGAGACAGATCCAGAAGGGCGTTTCCCATTTGAGGTATTTTGCACTAGCCTTAGTCTGCCGGTAATGGAGTTCGGCGCGGTATTTATACCAAATAAATGCCGACTCATCGACACACTTTAATAAAATTGATGTACAGAGTGGTACCTATTTACTTAAGTAGTTGACAATACAATAGTTCCATAAGTAGTATTACAGCCACAGAAAAATTCTGGCAGAGAATGCCACCTTGGGTCAAAGTTGGGTCTTATCAGAGGTGAGTAGTAAATCCTATGGCCATGTGACTTCTTCAGCACGCCATGGTGTCACTGACGTGACTTTTTTAACCACCACTCCAATCCTATAGTCACGTGACTTTTTCAACAGCCTCTGGTGTCACTGACGTCACTTTCTCCGTCATCCCTCCAACCCCATAGTCATCTTCTTCAGCAGCCTCTGGTCATTGTCGGCGACGCTCATGAAGGCTTTTTCAACAGCCTCTGGTCATTGCTGACGACTCTTACCTTTTTCAGCGAAATAATGATAGTAAAGGTGCTAGGACAGTTCAGCAGCAAACCCCATGTAAATCTCCATAAGTAAACGCTAAGGTCCAAATTGGGGCTTTTTGCGACCATTTTCAGGTAGCCCCACCCACTATCCCGCTATCTCCAAAACATCTCAACAACACCTCAAAGACAACTCCAAAACATCTCAACGACATCTGTAAGAGAAATCCAAGACAACAACAACATCTCCAAGACATCTCAACAACACCTCAAAGACAACTCCAAGACATCTCAACAACATCTCCAAGACAACAACAACATCTCCAAGACAACAACAACATCTCCACGACATCTCAACAACACCTCAAAGACATCGCAACATCACCTCAAAGACAACTCCAATACATCTCAAAGACAACTTCAAAACATCTCAACAACAACAACACCAATAATTTTCTCGCTAAGCTTCAAAATTTCTTTAACATGCTCACCTACATCAACCATTGTTGTTGTTGTTGAGATGTCTTGGAGTTGTCTTGGAGGTGTTGTTGAGATGTCTTGGAGATGTTGTTGTTGTCTTGGAGTTGTCTTACAGATGTTGTTGAGATGTCTTGAAGTTGTCTTTGAGGTGTTGTTGAGATGTTTTGGAAATAGCGGGATAGTGGGTGGGGCTACCTGGAAATGGTCGAAAAAGCCACAATTTGGACCTTAGTGTTTTCTTATGGAGATTTACATGGGGTTTGCTGCGGAACTGTCCTAACACCTTTACTAATGATCACACCTGGGACCTTATTCTCATAACCAAGGAACAGCTTTCTCATGAGAACGTCTTTATCAGTGTTATAGAAATATGAATATGAGCGACGAAGACAAAACGCTGTTCCCCTGTTTCGAGAATCAGGTGAACGCAGGGGCCATCCGCAACGAATGACCTTGAAAGTGAGCCCATGGTGGACTTGTTTTACTACCATTGCTACACTGTTAGAGGTTGCTTTGTCGGAATACCTATACTCTGTTTCATTGTAGTTGATAGCTCTATATCTTCATTATTATAGATTTATAATAGTGTTTGGGTATGTCAACAAATTTCAACTTTTTTACATTAAACTAAACACATAGTGGTAAAAGCATAGTAATTTGGAAATTATAGCCAAGGGTAGGTACCCTATAGAAGGTAAAATAACAATGAATGATAAGGGCTGAATCGGGGCATTATTGTCGGAGAGTTGTCAGTTGAAAAATTCCTATGTAATAAAGCAGTTATTGATAGACAATACATATTTTTTGGAAATCTGTTTTCAAGAAGTACAAATAATAATTATAAGTTTATCAAGTGTTTTTATAATTAATGTTTGGCTTCGAAATCCATAATGAAATAGTAGTTAAATCTATATTTCTATTTCAGGGATGAACCTGCATTTGCAAGGGCACATCCCTAATGTGTCTGTCATATAGCCTTTCGAGGATTTTCATAAGGAATGAAGTAAGACTAATCGGTCTGTATGATTTTGGATAAGAGTAGTCATTCTTTCCAGGTATAGGCATAAAGGTGACTTCAACTTCTCTCCACTTCATGGGTATATAATGAAGTTCATAATACAATTAGGCCCTAGCTGACGTCACACACATAACTTCATTTTCAATGGGGTGACAAACATATAGTTTGAAGGACTATAACCGCCGGTCACAAGTTTTCAAAAGAATTTGTGTAATAACCAATTGGCCTCAGAAAAATTGAAGAAGTGATAAATCACCTCAAACTGCCTAACACGATTTTATTTTTGGAACTATAAGTCCAAATGAGTTGAAATTTTCAGGGATTGTAGTCCCTTTATTGAAATAAGATTCAGTGAAAATTTCAGTTTTCCATTTATATCTATATGTAGGCACTCAGTAAAATTGATAAATCAGAAACTATAGGTCCATATTCAGTGTCGTAAATAGTCCTTAAACGCTTTGTTTGTCCCCCTATCGAAAGTGAGGTTATGTCTGTTTAATACTGGAAATTTCAGATTCTTACCTAACTATCGGCCATTTGCAACGCTACAACTTAAGGGATATTTAATCCAAGTGAAGCTTTGAATGTGACTTTTGTAGAAACAACGTCACATTCAAAACTCCACTTAGAATAAATATCCCTTAAGTGATAGTTAAGTGATAGCCGTGCAAATATGATACAATAATAATTGGAGAAATGATTTTTCCGAGGATTTTTCATATTTTTCAGAAATTTCCCTGGAGATTCCATACTTTACACATGTTGAAGAACTATTTATTCTTCCCCCTTTAAGTATTATGCTAAGGCCCGATTTATTCACCTTCTGATAAGCTGTCACTTAATGCAATCTGACAGACAAAAACGCATTCTATAATCCTATTGCTCAGGCAGTTATCCGCAACCAATAGGAATAATTTATCTCGTAAATAATTTATCTGAAGATGAATAAACAGGGCCTTATTGTGACAAAAATCCAAAAACACTCTAATTTAAGCATTATTTATTTAAACAGGTACAAAAGTAAAAATTAAACATCAATCACCCCCATATAAGTAACTAGCATCCATCAATAAACATTTTTCACGAAAATACACAAATAACAAAAAAAAATCTATATACAATAACAACAATTTACTAATCAACTAATGATGATGATGATGTTGAATCTCGATCTTCACTTGTTGAGCGTGCTCGTCCAGTTTCTTCAATTTTACCTCTCTGTCCTTCTCGTGCCAACCATACTCTTGCTCTACAGTGTGCCCGTCTCTCTTTTCAGCACGCTCTTTCAAGTCGTGCGTGTGCGGATCGTCTACACCATATTTGAACTCGTACTTTGGATGAGCGTAATAATCATGAGTTTTGTACTCGTGTACAGCGTAGACACAGGCGACTACCAAAACTAGAATTATTAAGGTTTTAGTTGCCATGTTTATGCAAACTGTGATTTCCTGGTTTTTCAACTGGGGCTTTTATACCTGATTTTCGGGTCTAAAAATTCTAAATTAACATTTATTGTAAATAGTTGTGCTAATGTGTTATACTTTCACTTTTTTTTTTGCAAATTGAATTTGGTTTATTCTATATGTACGGCAATTATGTTAATTATTTGATGTTTTTTTCTTTGTAGAAAATCTGGCCCCGTCGGAATTGAAAAAGCTGAAAAACAAGCAGAGGAAAGCGAAGAAGAAGGCCGAGCAGGAAAACGCGCAGGCTCGCGAAGCTCAAGTCAAACGCGATCAGCATCACAAATCCAGACAACAAGGAGACGTTGAAGCTGACGCTCCGCAACTAGATGAACTTATACCTGACAAATTAGCTAGGGTGAGTTAAGAGGAATAGTTAGTTTTTTGATGACCAATGAGCTACTTATAACAAATGCATTCTGACACACTTTTTGAGGTTCCAAAAATTAGCACAACGAAAATGGCACACATCAGAAAAACTAGAGTACTAAATTCAGACCTATTTAGTGTTAATTTAGTACGAAAAAATATATATATAACTCTATTTTTAAAAAAATTACGTGCATGTGTGTAAGCTTAAGATTAGGCTGGCACGCATGCACGTAATTTTTTTAAAAATGGAGTTATAATTTTTTTTTTTCTTTTCGTACTAAATTAGCACTAAATACGCTCGAATTTAGTACTCTAGTTTTTCTGATGTATGCTATTTTCGTTGTGCTAATTTAAAGTACCACATTTATTGTACCCCCTGATTAGAAAACAGAGTATGGTTCTATAATTTGCTTATTTTTTCATGTTGACTTAAATGATATATTTTCAGGTTGACGATCCTTTAGAACAAGCAATCAAATTTCTGGAACCTTTGCAATCTTTAGCAAGAGATCGGATGGAAACACATTTAATGGCCTTTGAAGTTTATTATAGGAAAAGTAAGTAAAATTAGACTATATTATCAATATATTTATAACACAATTCTTGTTAGGAAAAATCCTTTTAATGCTGCAATCAATCAAACGTGCGCACCAAGTGGAACCCAGTCATCCGAAGTTGCACAGTTGCCTGATACGATTTTTGCAAGTTTTCAACGAAAACCAGCGCAATTTCGATCCGGCTGTTTTGGAAGTAATTACCAGCGAAACAAAGTCCCTGCTGAGCACCAAAGACGCGAAAAAGCTGAACAAGGAGTTCCTCGACAGCCGCAAGGGTAGTTTAAAGGCGGCCTTAGAGGGCGCGATAGCTACCTATCAGCTAGACAACAAATTACAAAAAGAAGCCTTAGGCCTAGTCATGGATATCGATCACAATAAGTACACTGATGTAGATATTGAAGTAAGTTTTCAATAATTATTATAATACAAACAAAACTATTGTAATTATTTTTTTGTTAGATTTGTACAGAAATCTATAAAAACCTACGTAACGGAAAATTAGGCGCCTGCGCCCAATCGCAGTTGGACGCGTTTGTAGCCCAATGTCGCAAACGTTATCCGCACGCGGAAGCCTTCCAGCCGCCTCAGGAAATCAAGGCGCAGCCTCAGACCAATCACGTGACCACAGAACAGGACAGCAACTGATTAGAAAATGACGTCAGTAGGATATGGTCAATTTATCACAAAAATGTACCCATATCACATTGACAGTCAAGTTTTTTTTTTTTTTATTGTGTTCAAAAAGTTGTAAGACAGTTATGGTGTTTAGGAAAAGTAATTATTGATCGTGACTCGTTTTTTTTTTTTTGGACTTCTTACCTTATAAATAAGTAGTGTTTTTTTATAATTCGATCTTTAGTCTAAGTGAGAGGTGAGTATTGACGGTAATTTGGTTGGTAGACATGCCTCAACAAGGATTTTAGAATTTCGGCTTTTTTTGAAAAGGCCGGAACTAACTTTTAATTGTAATAAATCAAAACAACATTTATACATATAAATAGATTTTTTTGTTGCTTTTTATTTGTAAAAAGATTGTAACATAACAAGGAAACAATGGAGTTTGTCTGAGGGGCTGAGCCTTGAGACTTGCTCATAGTCAAATAAATGCAGTGATTTGTATGATATTGTGTTTTATTTATTAGCCTGATAGTCTACCTACACATCTTAAACCTTATTCTCAATTTCATGCTTATTATTCTCATTCTTATTTGTATCCTTATTCTCATTTTTATCATTCCCTTCCTTCTCTATCTTATGTAAACACTCCAGAATCTTTGGACGTCCTCTATTATTTCAATTAATGATTGCTTTAAAACTTTCCTTCATACTTCTCTAGAGTCTAAAGTCTTTCAATGTCTTGACTTTTCAGCCATTATTTACTTTGCAAACTTCCTGGTCCTTTTACGAGAAAAATCTAATAATAGAAATCTTAAGATCCTCTATTCGGGCTATTTGCATGAATTTAACTTAAAAGATATTTTATCTAAGAGAAGGTTTGAATGTGACTCTTTTAGAAACAAAAGTCTCATTCAAAGCTCCATTAAGCTCAAGCATCCACTAAATATTCTCAAAAACCTAGGAGTTGTTTTCCTGATGCAGATTTCTACAGATTTTAGGATCCTCGCAATTCTGCAAAACCTGAGAATTTTTTGGTGATTTTACAAAAAACTCTAGAAGCTTCAGATCCTGAATTCTGAGTTATTGGTTTATGAATTTCCCTCATACTTCTCTAAAAAGTCTTTCAATGTCCTAAATTTTCAGCAATTATTTACTTTGCAAACTTCATGGTCTCTCTGTGAGAAAAATCTAATAAAGATCTTCAGTTTCTCTGAGATTCCTAAAAATCTGAAGCCAGGTTGACATGATTCAAATGCACTTAAATGACAACTTGGACCAAGTAATATGATAGCAGCCAACTTGGATGTTAACAGGGCCGCCGCTACCATGTGTGCAGTGTGTTCAAAACACAAGGCGGATGAAAAGGGGTAAATTATTCATCAAAGAGCATTAAATTCTCTATAAATCCATGCAAAATTGAATTTGATAGCTTTTGAGCTATCTATCTAGTTTCTGAGCAATCAAGCCTCAAAGTTGACTTTTAGTCCAAATTTTGTCAGAAACTTCAAACTCAATTTGCTCAAAAACTATAAATCTGGCAATATTGTAAATTACAGGCCATCTAGAGCTTAATGAGAGCTACAAATGCTGAAAATTTCAATGCAAATTTCTCAACGGTTACCGAGCAATTGAGGTTTGAATATTTTGAAATCAGAATTCAAAGGGGCTACCCTTATGAGAAATTCGATTTTTTTATTTTTCAGTTTTGCTCAATTTTAACTTTATTTATCTATAGAGCGGGTCCAAATTATTGGAAAACAACTCTGACATAATTTCCAAATGGCCATTTCAAGCAAAAACAAAATTAAAAAGGAAATCCTATTTTTGGCTCTGGAAATTTTCAAAATCTTGCATGGTCCTCAACAATCGCCCAAATCTTTATTAAATTTCAAGCAAATTGAAATAAATTATATACCATTGGAAAGAGCATTAAATTCTCTATAAATTCGTGTAAAATTGAGTTTGATAACTCAAAGGGTTTTTGAGCAATTGAATCTCAAATTTGACTTTTAGACTCAATTTGCTAAAAAACTATCTGGGAATAATGTAAATCACAGGTCATTTAAAATGCACTTGGAGCAAGTAAGTATAGGCTGACGTAAGTTGACAGTCAGTCTACTTACTTGGATGTTAGGACCTATCCAACGACTATAGTCCAAGGGAGACGCGTGTAACTTCCGAAGGCACTTATGATCCAAGGTTCCTGGAAGCTAATAGGTTGTCAAATAATGGGAAACAGATGGAGATGGAGGTTTGCATTATGTTTGGGCACCTTAGATGACGTCATAAAAGTTATCAAACGACCTATTTTTTTCAAACAATCCTGTTCTTGATCCAAGTACACTTAAGCTCGATCCAAGTACACTTGAACTCGATTTTCCAAGTGCGCACCGTGTAAAACCTAGTACTCATAACTGCGAAATTGGACCTTTTTTGACATTGCTTCGACAATTTGACGTTTGATTAACGCATAAAACGTCAATTTGTCGAAGCAATGTCAAAAAAGTGAGAATTTCGCAGTTATGAGTACTAGGCTTAAATTGTTCTTGACTTTTACCGGAATTTTTTGACACCTACCGAGTATATGTACCGGTTTATTTATTCTATGTTCCGATATCAACTGTCAGTACTGAATTTACTAGACGCCGTTGTCATGACGTCATATTGAACGTAGTTCGCCGAAAACATGGACGCAGCTTTTAGCAAGCGTTCAAACTCATGACGTCACAAGACGAACTATTGATGAACTACATTCGTCGCGAAAAATCGGTTATTTATTTTGAGCACGCTGATTCAGTACTGAATGACCTCCAGAGTACGTTATTGAAATTGGAACAGTAAAATCAGCACAGTAAATTCAGTACTGGCAGTGTATCGGAACATAGCCTTAACCGGTCAATTTATCGGTGAAATTTGGAAAGTACCCTCCTATTTCCAATCCTATGACTAGTTTTGAAGATACAGGGTGTTCAATGTGTGAATTTCCGATATGCATTTTGACATCCTATTCAATCAGCCGAATCATACCTATTCGTGTGAGAATTCGCGGTCAAGGCACAGAAATGAATAATTCTGTTTTTGTTTTTTAAGATACGTTCAATATGACGTCATAAGTTTCTCGAAAGCGTTTGTGTTCATGAAATCATGCAAGTGGTTCGTCGCGAAAATTCGTTTCAAATTTTGGCCACGAACTATTTCCATGATTTCATGAACAACGCTTTCGCGAGAAACTCATGACGTCATATTGAACGTAATTCGACGGAAGCATGGACGCCAGCGTTCAAACTCATGACGTCACAGACGAACTATGGTTCGTCCTTGGATGAACTACATTTGTCGCGAAAATTCGTTTATATAGTCACTTTGTTGTGACAGGAAAGTTCTTTGTTGTCACCTTCCATTAGTCGCGCGTGTACCTGAGAGATACATGCTTATTATTTTTGCAAAAAAATCAAAAAGCAGAAACCCTATAATATTATGGCTTTTATTAGTCCTTATAGGTAGGTACTCTATACTAATTAGGTACTTTCCCAAAAGGGATACAATGCGACCATTCTTGTTACCATCGGTGTTCCTCAATAATTGTAATTGTTTTCTTGGTATATGAATATAATTTTTTTAATATCTATATATTATGGTACATGAGGCTGTTCATTTTAGGTAAAGCTGGAACTCGATGAGACAAAATTTCTCCCAAGCTGACTCGGACGAGACCACATAATATTATGCTGTTTTGAAACCAATCCAACTGAACTCAAATAAAGCCCAGAGGTTGACACGGTCCAAGTTCACTTGGATGAGAACTTGAATTAAAGTAAGTAGGCTGAAGTAAGTTGGCAGTCAGCCTACTTATTATTTGGATGTTAGGACCTATCCAACTTGATTGTGAAGTATAGTTTAAGTGAGGCGCGCGTAGCTCTCGAAGATACCTACTTAATTCAAGGCTCCTAAAGTTAATAGGTTGTTTGGTAATGGGAAACAGATGACGTCATCTGGGGTGCCTAATGGAGATTTGTTTTATGTTTGGGCACCGCAGATTAGGTCATAGAAGTTATCAATTATCCTATTCTTTTCAAACAGCCTTGTACTTGATCCAAGTACACTTGATCTCGATGCAAGTACATACACTTGAACTCGATCCAAGTAGGTAGGTACACGTGAACCGTGTCAACCTGGCTTAAGAGTTGTTTTCCAGATGCAGATCTCAGGATCCTCTATTCTGCAAAACTTGAAAATTTCCTGTTGCTTTTATGAAAAATTCACAGATTTCGCAATCCTTGCAACCATCAGACATTGGAAATAATAAGACCATTATATGGTACCTATTTAACACATATTATACAGTGTGTCCACTTAAGTTCGCAGCATATGGGAAACTTTCTTATCAGGTATCAATTTTTCTGCTTCTTGAAAAAATGATATTAAACCATTAAAACTTGAAGTAGCATGTACAGGGTGGCCCATTTTCGATGTTTTAATGGGCTATATCCAAAACCTGCAATGATATCAAAAATCTGGGAGCACATTCTCAAGCTCTTTTTTTGAGAAAAAAACAATCGCACAGACAAATCACGACTAACTTCATGCGTTTAGTAAACACAGGGCACTTTTCAAATTTTGTCCAATTTCAGAACACCTAATTTCTTTATTAATCAAGAAATCCAAAACTAAATAGTACATTATATACCTAGGTAGAGAAGTTGGTCATTATATATACCGCGAGCGCTTTTAAAAACCGAGGCGCGAAGCGCCGAAGTTTATATAATGCGTGAGGTATATAATGACTTTCTCTACCGAGGGATTTATAGATTTTTTTTTACTACTGCTAGTAGAAAATAAAACATAGGTTTGAAACCTGTGCTCAAATTATTTTCTCTTGTCGGAAATGCTGCCCTCTATCAACAGCTTACGGTAATTTCCTATAATGTACATACAGGAACTTGCTTTTTTTAGAATTGACAGTTTGACACTGAAATTAAACCAATAGAAACCTGTTACGTTTTGACAATATCCTTGCGTCATGACGTCATCATTGACCTAAGTATTTTTTCATTATTTTCATTATTAACCTAGGGAGAGAAATTCAATTTTTTCCCAGAAAAATTGATGGAATAATGACTACTTCTCAGGTTAGTAGTAAAAAAACTACTTTACGCACTGGTGCGTGACATTTTATGTCTTCTAAAAGGTGCGTAACGTAACTACTTTACGCGCGGTAGTGGAAAAAAAATAATTGTTGTGCCTTCACTTACAGTCGGGAATGAGATGTTGTACCCATACTTATACAGGGTGGTCCATTTAAATTGAGACATTTCAATATCTCGAAAATGGCGCGTTTTTGAAAAAAAAAGTTCAATAATGTCTTAAGTTCAATGGCCCACCCTGTATACTTATTGTATATCGTGTGCTAGAAACTTAAAATTACCAATTTTTCATTGCATATGAAAATTTTGCGACTTAATAAAAGCAAAAGTAGTCTGTTTTTTTTTTTAATAATTCCCCAAGTCAAAAATTTAGTAACTATGTTGGCAACACAAGCCTTCTCTACATAAAAAATTTGAAAGCATCGACAATTTAACATTGGTTTTGCCAATATAATGTCATTTTGACATTTATTTAAAAAAAAAAAAACAGACTTTAAAAATTTCGATTCTAGCCTTTGCGAACGAAAATAGAAAATTTCCTCAAAAAGGCAAAAAGGGGATAATTCCGTCAAGCTGGCAACACTGTGGCTGACTCGTTATCAAACGCAAGGATATCAACAAAGCATTCGATAGGTTGGATATAAGCCCCGCCCCTTTCCAATCAGAAGCGAGTGATATCAGCAGGGCATTCAATTGGTTAGTTGAGCCCCGCCCCTTTCCGGGGTTTATGTTTCGTCAAGGTATTTGATTGGTTGTTTCCTTTTCAACCCTTTCCAATGGCCCCGGCCCATCTACAGTAACTTAACCTTTTCAAATAGAAATTCGGTACCGCCGCCATATTCTTGCAAATTTTGAATATGAATATAGAAGTTAGTCACGCCCCCGCCGCCATATTTTTGCAAATTTTTTGATGTTTACTCAGGTATGTATTAATATTATTATTATCTAAGTATATTTATTTATTCTTTATTTTTCAATTTTTCCATCTCATATTTTGTTTATTCCCGGATCTTGAATTTTCGTTTTCTTCTTAATTTTTCTAATGGCCATTTCCACCAACTATTTTAAGGAAGCCCTAACAATAGGTAGAGTCCGCGTCAAGAGAAAAGAGTACGTTGACGTCAATTGCGCACAAACTCAATATTGAAGACTAACAGAACTATCGTATCGATCGGTGCTGCTGCCGAACGCCAAGCACGTGGTTCATTGTCGTACGGCCAGCAGGTATATTTATTTAGTTTATTGGAAAATAAACTAAATAAATATACTTGGATAGAAATCCAAGTTTTGTCTGAAAAGATACCCCGCTGCTGGTTTCAGCTCACGGTCGAGGTCACGGCAGACAGCGAGAGATAGACGAGGGAGAGAGATCCGACTATCCGACCCGCTTCGCGCAGCTTTCTGTGACGTCACCGTAGTCTTTACTGCTGACGCGGACTCTATGCCTCATTGTCTTCGTTGTTCGATGACGTCATCCTAAATATAACATAAAAAACCTATAAATGACTTTCTCTACCGAGGAATATACCTATAGATTTTTTTTTACTACTGCCAAAGCTACTGCTAGTGGAAAATGAATAATTTGTAATGTGCTCTAATTATTTTTTTTTGAACACCCTCTTGAAAGTGGTGCCCTCTATCAACAGCTTATGATAACTTCTTACGTACCTACAGAAACCCGTATTTTTTTTTTAAATTTGACGTATGAAATTGAAATTGAACCAATAAAAACATGACAATATCCTTGCGTTATGACGTCATTTTCATTATTAACCTAGGGAGAGATATTCAATTTTTTCCTAGAAAAATAGATTGTTGATATTTCTCAGGCTAGTAGTAAAAAATAGTATATTATTTACTGAGGTAGAGAAGTTGGTCATCATATACCGAGCGCTTTTATACATAATGCCTAAGGTATATAATGACTTTCTCTACCAAGAAATATATAGAATTTTTTTTACTACTGCTAGTAGAAAATGAAAAATAGGTTAGAAATCTGTGCTAAAATATTTTTTTTTCTTGTCGAAAGTGCTGCCCTCTATCAACAGCTTATGGGAATTTCCTTTGATGTACGTACAGGAACCTGTTATTTTTCAAAATTGACAGTTTGAAATTGAAATTAAACCAATAGAAACCTGGTACGTCATGACAATATATTATCCTTGCGTCATTACGTCATTTTCATTATTGACCTATAGGTGTTTTTTCATTATTTTCATTATTATTCTAGGGAGAAATATTCAATTTTTTCCTAGAAAAATAGATTGAATAATGACTATTTCTCAGGTTAGTAGTAAAAAATTACTTTCCAGAGGCAGTTTTTAACGTAGAATCCAGTGGCATGACCAATTTTTTTCCAGATGCCACCTATTTTGGAATATTACCCAAAGCTGTGTTTTTTTAAATGGGACACCCCGTATATTACTTTTTCATTGCATAGCCCTTTTTGAGCTGATTTCAAGAATTGGGAGTGATAAATAAACAACACAATTTATTTGATGACTCATCTCTTTCTAGCTCATTGTTTCTTATAGAGAAAAGGAATTTATTTTTTTTTCTCGAAAACTATTGAAGATAAAGGTATAAAACCTTATATCATTGAAATCTGCTCAAAAAGAGCTATTCAATGAAAAAATAATATACAGAGTGTCCCATTTAAAAAAATACAACTTTGGTTAATATTCCAAAATAGGTGGCATCATCTGAAAAAAAAATTGGTCATATTCTATAAGAAGAAAAAGATCCTATTGAATTCCAAGAACAGGATTTATAGTTTTTTTTGAGACTCATCTACACATTTTTAGATCCTGAATCTTTCATTTTAAGTTAGTTTGGAAATTTGGTACCTATTGTTCGTCGATTTTTAACTGACACTTTCCGTATGAGGAGCGAGGGGGTATTTCATATGGCAAAAACAGGTGTGACGTCAGTAGGGATGGCAATTTTTGGAGAAACATCGATGTATCGACATCGATAGACATCGGAAAGCAATGCATCGATTTATAAGATACATCAAGTTGAAAACATCGATGTGTTCGATGTTTTTAAAAATGCGATAGTTTACTTATTTCTTTTTAGTTATTGAAAATAAAATTTTAATTGAGTCAATTAGATAAGGTGAATTAAAAAATAAGACAGGCATATCAACATAATATAAGCAAAAGCCCGCGGAATCATAACCTGTGGTGTGAGTGTGAACAGTCTACGTCAAGGAGAAAAACGGCATGCTGCCTACGTCACAGCTGGTGATTTGGCGTGGTGGGGTGGGGGCTCCAGATTTGTTCCACACAGGCCTTATGAGGATAGGCTATCCTGTAGTAGTAGTGTGTATTATCCTTGGATCGAATCAGCGTTTCCGTTTAATTCTGTCAACAGCGTTAAGTCAACTGTCAATTTTTCATCAAAACTATCAAAGGCGATTTTCAGCCTGGAATGATTATTATTTGGTTATAACCAACGCATTTCCGCCGTCGCGGTTTTAACCAAAGTAGGGGAAGTTGTGACGTCACATATCAGCTGATTTGCTTTTGGTATTTACCACTTATAACCGATTATAACCCAGCTTTGGACTTGGGTTAATCTTTTGGTTACAGCTTTTTGATGTTATTGTTATTATTTTGGGAATTGGTATTGATGTTTTGTGATTTTGCAGTTGTGTTGTGGCCTGGCACAATGGAAGAAGTATACACTCACTTACTCACTGCAACTCACCATGTTTAGATCATCCCCAGAGAAAATCTGTTTGATAATCGAGACTATAACGAGAGATTCTGCTCCATTTTTGGTACCTAAACAACAAACCATTGTTGAAACGAAAAAACAAATAAGAATAATAAACATAACCCTACACTGCTATAACCAAATCATTTCAGCGGTCAGTTCCTTGGGTTATGATTCTTGAGTGCTGGGGGTCTATGACGTCACACTTGGCTGTCAAAGTTGTCATCCAAAAGAATAACCACGGTATTTACCGATAAATAATTATTCCAGGCTGAAAATCGCCTCAAGAATAGGGATTTTTGTTTTGTAGAACCTAGCTTGACTGCCGAGTAACAAAAAATGTATTGAAAAAAAATCATACATTTCAAAGGTTATACATCGATAGTATCGATGTCGATGTATCGATATATCGACTTATGTTGCATCGATGTAAAAGTATCGATGTTTATTGTTCGATATATCAATGTTTTGAAAAAATCGATGTATCGTTGCCATCCCTAGACGTCAGGTAATCATTGGCGTTCTAATGTAGGGAGCCACCAACTCACATTCCGTCCGAGTATCAGATTAAAATCGATGGACAATATCACTATGCATTTAGCTCCGTTTTGGTTCTGCCAAGACAAATGCTCCATTTCAGCAAGATGTATCTCCCTAGGTAGGTACATTCTCAAAAGTATCAAAAAGACATGAAGAAAATGACCTGCGGTGCAAATAAATAAGAACGCAAAGTCAAATTAACTTTTGGAAGAATTTAGCGACAGGTGCCCATACATTTCAAGAAATTTGGGACAACACAATACATTATAGTGTCTGGACCTGCTTGACAACAAGTTTTTATTTCTTCCTGCAACTCTTCCTTCTTATCATACATATGTAACGTTTTAGAAAGTTATGTTTTATTGCCTCTAGCTTAGTAGTTGGTTATAAAATTACTTCCTCTTTCTCATCTCCTCATAATGCTATTCCTTCTCATTCTCATCTTTAATTTTCTTGTTATACATACTTATGTCCTTCCTTATTGAATAGTTTCTTCAACCCCTGACCAAAGAAACAAATCATCCAATTCTTGCCAAATGCATTTCTATAGGGTTAAAAATGATTCTGCTTCATCTATTATCACATTCATTCCTTTCTTATCCTCACCTGCTTCCAAACTCCAATAAGCCATTAATTACGATTTATTTCAAAAAAGGGTGAATAATTATTTTTAAGTTTCTACCCGGGCGAACTTTTCTTTTAGGGCGAAAAGTTGAGTTTTCACCCCCCCGGGGAGGGACGACACGACGCGTTCAGCGGTTAGCGCACCGTAACTTTTAAACTTGGGGAACGGAATGTACAAGGCGTCGGGACGCCCTATCCAGTCTAAATACGACGCCTTTCGACGTGCGACCGTCTAAATTTAAATAGTCCGCGTTATACGAAAACATCGCGGTTTTTTTTTCTTCTTATATTATATTGGCCGGCATTTGAATACAATTGATTGACTATTGAAAAAAAAATATTTTGTGTGCTAATTATTATTGTTTTTCATATTATATGGGTTGTATTAATTGTTCCGGCAGGTCTTAAGTAAATATAGGTAAGTGTAATGTTATATTTTTAGCCTTTCGACTTATTTACGATAGATATATTCCGAAATGTTTGAGAGGTTCCTATTATATACAACGTGTGAATATTGAAAAATTTAATTTATGTTTCGTGTGCATATATAGAGTGTGAATACTTCAATTTTATAAAACAAATATTTTTGCCAATAAAATACTAGGGGGGCTTTTCAATTCTCATCGAGGCTGTATGCTGTTTTATTCGCACTCGAAATTGAATTTTTACCTATAGAAGAATTGGAAAGGCACTTACAATCAATCAATGAAGAAATTTATACAATTCTTCTCCTGGATAAGTTTCCAATAAAAATCTTTGTCTCACTTTTCCTGATCGATTGAAAAAAAATATATATACTATCAGCATTAGTGCTGTTTACTCAACACTTCGACACCAATTTATTATCGAGCACTGGTTTTTTTTTTTTATCATGTTCGGTTTACAATATACAGGGTGTATCAGTCTTTGAATTCCGAGAAAAATGTTAACAATGCATTGTGATTGCACTATGATTAATAATATGAACTGTTCTGTACAATATTTCATAATAGTTCAAATACAATTAATTAAAATAGTTAAAAAAGAAGATGATTTTCTTTTGTAAGGTTCGGACATTTGGAATAAACAAAATATAGTTTCAAATATTTATTGCTGAACTCATTCCGTCACTATATCTGTCACCCCTGCTCTGTCATAACACATATACCACTGGTAACTACCTGACATATCCTTTCTCTAGAACCTATAGGTAATATTGACAAAAATAAAAAACAATAAACTATTATAAAAATAACAAAAAAATCTAAAAAACAATAAGTTCTTAAGAAACACAATCTCTAAAAAATTCTGGTTTTTTAATAATTCTACCAGACCTAGAAATACCAGTCTTTGGCAGAACTCCAGTTTGGTCAAAACCTAAACTTGAGCGGTCAAGATTCTGATTTATTTTTTATAGATTGACCAGTATTATTGACTGTGAAGTTCTGCTGCTTTGCGAATTTGAACCAGATCCAACCACCTTAATTGAAACGAACATTGGCTCGTTTAGCTCTGTCTAACACTGCTTCCAGTCTTTTGGCGTGTTCTTCTTCATTCGCTGCCCAGACTATAACATCATCTATGTAAATTTCCACTCCTGGGAAGTCCATCAAAAATATTCTTGAATGTACGATGAAAAACTTCCGGTGCAGAGCACAGTCCATAAGGCATTCATAAAAAAAATACTTCTCAAATGTCTCTATTTGGAATTTCGATTTTTTTTCTGGAAAGTTGGTATTTCTGAGTGGCGCGTATTTTTTCATATATTTATTTAGGAAGCTCTCATCTATAATATTTCAAAGCTTCATAAAGAAAAAGTCAATAATAATGGAACTGCGACTTTTCTAATGTGCATGATAACTACACTGATATACGTACTTCTGAAATGTCTCTATTCGGAATTTCGATTTTTCTTCTGGAAAGTTGGTATTTCTTTGAGTGGCGCTTATCTTTTCATATATTTAGGAAGCTCTTATCTATAATATTTCAAAGTTTCATAAGGAATAAGCTAATAATAATGGAACTCCGACTTTTTTAATGTGCATGATAACTACACTGATACTGATATACTTCTGAAATGTCTCTATTTGGAATTTCGATTTTTCTTCTGGAAAGTTGGTATTTCTATGAGTGGCGTGTATTTTTTTTATATATTTAGGAAGCTCTATATCTATATAATTACAAAGTTTCATATAAGAGAAAGCCAAGAATAATGGAACTGTGATTTTTTAAATGTGATAACTACACTACATATAGAAAATAGAAATTATGTATAACGACACAATCACCCTATGAAATGTGGACAGGGCAGAAACCAGTACCTACCTGAATATATCAAAATATTTGGGTGTGATTATGTGTATATACCAAAACAGAAACGAAGAAAACTTGATGCAGAGAGCCAAAAGTTAATGCTTGTTGCGTATGATAAAAACTGGATTCGACTAACTAGAGATTATTTAATCCACAAACACAGAGAATAACTATTTCAAGAAATGATGTTTTTAATGAGAGAGTTAAAAATGTCAAACAGAATGAAGAACAAAACAGCTTATTTAAACTTGAAATAGAGAGTGATGACGTCACAGTATTTGATAGAGCAGGAATGAGACCTGAGATATAAGTAAGATCATGAAGAAATGCAAGATAATTCTTCTTATGAGCTTGTCATTGCGTTAGTGCGGAGCACTCTTACGCTGTAATGGATGAGTCTAATTACTACTTATGTTGTGTTTAAAGTTAACTTGTTGTTCAGGGAGAGGATAATTGCGGATAATTGTTAAAGGAAAAATTGTGGTGAGTGTTGACATCTTGGATCAACTTTGAGACTAATTGGATTGTGGTCGAAGCTGGAGATCGTTATTGTTGCCAATACAAATGCAACGTCTAGAATATCAGGGGTATTATAATGAAACTGAGTTGGCTCTAAGGGAGCATGAACTGAAATAAGGTTGTCCTGGGTGAATTGAAATAGAAAAATGTCCGCTGTCTTATTATCGCGGCATCCCCAGGCTCTATTTTTGCAATTGAAATCGCCTGCAGCTATAGTTGGAGTATCAGAACCGAAGAAAAGGTTCCTATCATCATGGGTTAAGCGTTTAGAAAAGGCTTATAAATACTGAATAAATTAAAAGGGCCGCCTGCAAGGTGGACTACCACACCAGTGTATTCCATATTGTCCGAGGCAGGATTGGCAATAGTGTCATGAGAAATGCTGTTTTCAACGAAAATTGCAGCACAGTTAGGTCTATCATTTCTGTATGAAGTGTAGTTTTGTACGTTGTAAACTGTGTGTGGTCAGGGGCCTTATTCTGTATAGAACGAACCGTTCGATTCGGTAGAATTTCTTCGATTGTGACGTCATTTTCGGTTTCGTAGCGCGGAAGCTGTTCGCTACAAAACCGAAAATGACGTCACAATCGAAGAAATTCTACCGAATCGAACGGTTCGTTTTTTACAGAATAAGGCCCCTGAGCATAGTCTCCTGGACTACCTACGTCAACATTAGATATCCTCGTGTGAAAAGGCTGCAAACTCATATATTTTGGGAAAGATAGAGTTTGCTTCCAAGAGATTATGTATAGTTTCGTCGGTTTAGGTATGTCGCTCATTAGGTCATGTTAAGTTGGGTCAAAAGTTTGAAGTTTTTCAAGAGTTTGTCCAGTTTATTTGAGATCTCTTGCTCTGAAAGAGTCAAAGGACTCAAAATGTTGGTAGAATTTGTTTGTTTAGGTGGTATAATAGTAGTTGTGTTGTTGTTTGTTTTCATTTTTTGAGCATAACTTATATTGTTGTCTTAAACAAAGCTGCTGTGTTCCTTGGAGGAGAAGAGCTTTGAGCCGGTATTGGTTTAGATGAAGCTGAGTGGATATTTTTGTTGGGACACTTCGGACAAATCAGATAATTGGCCGGATGTGCACCGCCACAGTTGACACATGTGCAGGGGGAAGTCTTGTTTTTTTTGCAGCGTTTGTGGAAGTGACTACCAGCACACCGGTGACAACGGGGCTTTGCATAGCAATTTGACAAGGTATTGTCAAATTGCTGGCAGTTGTGGCATTGAGGTACAAAGATTCAAGCTCCTCCTGGACTTCTATTCTGTCCAGTCCCTTGATAACCACATTACCTAATCATTTTTTCGTCGGGTAGGAAATAGGAATGAAATTCAATATTCTGGGAACGTAAAAATTTTGTAATTTCTCGATAGTCATCTGGTGTATTGGGGGTAATAGAGATACCCAGTTTGTTTTTTGTTGGATTATTGAAGAAAAGTTTCATGTATGTCAATTTTGTCAAAAGTTGTTTTGATCTTTGTGCGGTCCTCAGAATAATGGGAACAGATTTAGAGGGATCGTTTTTGGATGGTCCGTTGTCATTAGTTTGAGTCATGTTTCTTTTTTGAGTAATTAACAAGTTTTTTGTTGGTACTGTGGAGGAAATTAAGTGAAGTCATGTTTTTTTTTGTTTTTTTTTTAATAGAGGAAAACAAATATCAGTGGCGTCCATTTCTGTTTCTTGCTCAGTGTTGTCTATTTTAGGATTAGGGCAGTCCAATTGAATGTCTGAGTCTAAGACCAAATTTGGCTGAGTCTGTACATTATTGTCTTAGTAGGAGAGCCGGCAATATCAACGGGTATGTGCGATTGTTGCAATGGATAATTCTCACATAAAAGAATAGCTCATAGTTACCTTTAAACTAAATGGATGGGCCTTGATTCTCATCATTGTTGGTTGGGCGTAAACTACCCCTCTTTTTTCGAAGGAGCAATGTTATCCTTGCAATAGCTGAAAATTGGTAGATATATTCTTTAATATGTCTTCTCAAATAATATATAGGGTTGCCTCGATTTTGATGGCCGGAAATGATGGCAACCCTCATTGAAAGTCGAGCGCGCGCGTTATTTTGCTTGCTGAATACAAATTTTTGAAAGTGACAGCTCGCAAAGTCACTTTCAAAGTTAAAAGAGGATTCAGTGAAGAGGATTTTGCATACGGCTGTAGGTCTTTAGACAAAAAATAAACATGGAATTGTGTTAATGAAGTGTTTGCCGCATATGATGAGAACCCCCTACACCGCAAAGTACTTCTTATTTGTTGCGCTTATGGTTTTGTTCTATTAATGAAAGCTTTTTTTTTTATAAAACAACTTTACGGTCATGAGAATCAAGTCTTTGATGCAACCCATCGATTTGTTTTAAAGATTACTATGGAATTGTTTTTATGTAGAAATTATCCATTGTAACGATCACATACCCGTTAGTATTGCCGGCTCTTGGACTATCTGTAATAATAAAGTCCTTGGTCTGAATTGAGTTTTTCCTAACTTCAGAGAATTTCATCCATTGAAGTTTGAAGTCTCAAAAGTTGTTGTCTAATGGTGATTTCCATTTGTCAATCAGTGCGCACTACTGAGTGTATCCGCATCTTTTTCTAAAAGCA